TTTTATTAGAAAATAAATTAGTCTTCTTTTTCATTTCTTCGGTCCATTCAAACGCGATAAGATTTTTTTCTCATTAACTTAAGTATTTTATATACTTTCTGAGATTATTCTCGTAAGTATCATTTTCTTCTTGCTTGAGCATGTGTGTGATAGGGGATGGGTTTTCGTTCACGGTTATTAAAAGCAAGACGACTATTTCGGGGCGGGCTTTAAACCGGCAACCGCACTCCTCAGTTGACGCAAGTTATAAGCACAATATAGATTTTCGCGGTAAATACACATAAATGTTTTTTTTTACTTACCTCTAATCTTACTGGTGGTGGGACCTCTTGTGAGTCTGTACGGGTAGGTACCACCACTCTGCCTATTTCTGCCGTGAAGCAGTAATGCGTTTCGGTTTGAAGAGTGGGGTAGCCGTTGTAACTATACTGAGACCTTATAACTTATATCTCAAGGTAGGTGGCGGCAATTACGTTGTAGATGCCCACGGGCTCCGGTAACCGCTTAGCACCAGGTGGGCCGTGAGTTCGTCAACTGACATAAGCAATAAATAATCATCTTACGATATACTGATTGGATTAATAAATCATTGTTATTCTTTTCCTTCTCCATCTTAGTTAGTAAGCATATATTATTAATTTGTACTCATTTGGTTCTATCATTTGCATCACTCTTTTATTGTTTTGAAGGGGTGAACTAGAATCACGATCCTGGTGTTAAATGGCTACTGAAGTCAATGGACATTATAGAGTCAATGGCGTCAACCATCTTGAGACATGAGGTTTAATTATCAGTTGCTTAATATTTGCTTTGAGCTAGAACGAATTACTGCTTGGCATCAAAAATAGGAGTGTCAGTGCATTTTTTCATGCGGTCTCACAAGACGACCTGCCGCTAGTAAATAGAATACATATTTTTATTGGTTTCATTGTTTTACACGATGCTATTCCTTTATCGTGGAAGTCACACCTAAGCATTGTTTAAAAACGCACCATAGACTTTGGGGCCACGACGACTTCTAAAAAATTACCTACTTAAATATTTAGAAAAAAAAAAAGTGAGATATACCAAGAAATTCTACTTGACTAAGCCTGAATGATACATCTAACATAATTTGCTATAAAAATGTCAAAAAATGTACATAATATAAGCCGATCTTATTAAGTTCTTTGAAGTATCTAAAATTCCCTTTTATATTTATAAAGTTTTACGTTGGAACTGTAAGTTTGTCTTATTCTGAGAAATAATTCCTGCGTATTGATAAAAGTTCAGCTACAATCTTTTCTGCCAATAAAAGAAAACAAACAGCCGTAGACACTGAATACTGTACAAAGCTATTTGATTAAAGAGTATTTTTTTGTTTTTTATTTCGAGATCACAGACAGACATGCTTTTGTTTATTTTTATGTTTAAATATAATATTATTTGTCAACTGAATAGGCTTATTCAAACACAGCAGACAAAATGCGTAATGTGTTTCGGTTTGAAGGGTGGGGCAGCCGTTGTAACAATTTTTTTTTTTTTTTTGCTTAGATGTGTGGACGAGCTCACAGCCCACCTGGTGTTAAGTGGTTACTGGAGCCCATAGACATCTACAACGTAAATGCGCCACACACCTTGAGATATAGTTCTAAGGTCTCAGTATTGTCACAACGGCTACCCCACCCTTCAAACCGAAACGCATTACTGCTTCACGGCAGAAATAGGCGGGGCGGTGGTACCTACCCGTTCGGACTCACAAGAGGTCCTACCACCAATAATTACGCAAATTATAATTTTGCGGGTTTAATTTTTATTACACGATGTTATTCCTTCACCGTGGAAGTCAATCGTGAACATTTGTTAAGTACGTATTTCATTAGAAAAATTGGTACCCGCCTGCGGGATTCGAATACCGTTGCATCGCTCAATACGAATGCACCGGACGTCTTATCCTTTAGGCCACGACGACTTCATTAGGCCACGACGACTTCACTATGCTGAGACCTTAGAACTCATGTCTTAAGGTGGGTGTCGCATTTACGTTGTAGATGTCTATGGTCTTAACACCAGGTGGGCTGTCAGCTCGTCCACCCAGCTAAGCGAAAAATAAAACCGCATCGCTCGGAAAGCCAAAAAAAGTTTGTAACATAAGTCTTGATTTTGTGTAGATAAAACGCTTTAGCTTTACATTTGGGCCAATCCTCGCAAAAGCGTAGGTGAAAAAGTATTATGTATGCACAACGTCGCACACAGGTTTGCGACAAAAGCTGAATGTTGACGAATCCCCTACGTGGGATAACGCGCAGGCTTCCACGTAATATCAGCTTCTAGCAGCCTACGGGTTTTTGGCAGTTCGTGCTTTTAATACTCTCCGTAGATTGGACGGCTCGACGTAATCCGTACAGTTTTTTAGCCCGAAACTTTCTGGTATTGTTTTGTACTAACTGATCCGTCCTGTGTTAGGAATAGGATTGATATGGTGCGTGGCAATTGCAAGTACTAATTTATTATCGTAAGTTGTCGAATGTGTAAGACGCCTGATTTAATTTTAACGAGTGCTTCATTATAATTTTTTATCGCTTAGATGTGTGAACGAACTCACAGCCCACCTGGTGTTAAGTGATTACTGGAGCCCATAGACATCTACAACGTAAATGCGCCACACACCTTGAGATATAAGTTCTAAGGTCTCAAGTATAGTTACAACGGCTGCCCCACCCTTCAAACCGAAACGCATTACTACTTCACGGCAGAAATAGGCAGGGTGGTGGTACTTATCCGCGCGGACTTACAAGAGGACCTACCACCAGTAAAAAATTCGTAATGATAATTCGGATTGTATTTGTTTATAATATATTTTAGAAATCTACGAAATTATTTTTAGTGATTTATATACACAGGAGGTTGAGAACTCACAAATAAGACAAAAAACTAGGAAACAATCCGTTTAATAATGATTTCTACTTGAAACTAGATCTGGTCTTTTGAATGGAGGTTCCCTTTGGTATTCTGGAAGGGTAGACCAGCTATGACACCTACTCACCCGAAGAATCTAGTATAGTCCCTCGAGACTACTAGAATAGGTAGAAAAAAAAAGCTATGATTGACCCAAGTAGTTGATATTTGATTCCAGGTGAATATATCAAATTATTAAACTTAAGTGCAGAATACACACATTCGTACAAAATACCATTTAAATATAAAAACCACCTAAACACAAATATGAATTTATCATGAACGTCTAATTAAAACTCCAGAAATTAATTTTAATAACTTTGGTAACTTAAATCATTTGGATGGCCAATTAGCAACATCACATTAATAAAACATAATGTAATCTCATTTATGTTTCATGCGTACCTTCAGATTTTCATATTTGACTCGTTTTTAAAGGAAATTTTGACCGAAGGAAAAATATTCAACATAATCTCAGTTACAGCCCGAGGCATTTACCTGAATTCATAGACCGATTTTTAACGATAAATATGTTCAAATTATATCTTGAGGAATTCACGAAAAAGCTGTAACTTAGAGACAACAAAGCCAAGTGGTTGTCTATTGAACGTTTGTTTTGCTAATGGAATTAATGACAATCCGAACTGCCCTATTTTTATAGAATATTCTAGAATTAATGAAGATCTTTAAGATTAGTGAACATTTGTTTTTATTTACTAGATTGTCACTTACTTTTTACTTGTGGTAGGACCTCTTGTGAGTCCGCACGGGTAGGTACCACCACCCCGCCTATTTCTGCCGTGAAGCAGTAATGCGTTTCGGTTCGAAGGGTGGGGTAGCAGTTGTCACTATACTGAGACCTTAGAACTTATATCTCAAGGTGGGTGGCGCATTTACGTTGTAGATGTCTATGGGCTCCAGTAACCACTTAACACCAGGTGGGCTGTGAGCTCGTCCACCCATCTAAGCAATAAAAAAAAATACTAATTTGTTGCTACTTGACTACATTGAAAAATTATTACTTGTTGTTCCTTGTGTCCCCTAGACACATGAATCAAATTACATCAGATGGATATGGTACGTTTTGATCACACGAAGAGCGACACGTTTTGGGCTTATCTTACTTTTTTCTACGATCTGAGTAACGGCCTATGTTGATGAGATTTTGTGTGAGCTCACGTAATATTCCAGTTTTTACGGCACGTGACAAATTGGAGTACGTTAGTCTTGTACCTACAAGGGAATATTACAAGTAGAATTTTTAGAAAATTTTATAGAAAACAATCAAAATTGATGTTCTTTAAAACTGAAAATTTAATATCTTTAATAAGTTATTGAATATTTAATGATTTATCGTGTTTTTAACGATAAATGTGAGATTTAAATATTTTCTACCAGGTGATAAGTTGGGACCAAAGTCACATTACTATATTCTTTAATTACGTTAATAATAGCTACATTTGAATATATCTTAATACCAGGGTTACAATTATTACAGTTATCATTTCTAATCTGATTGAACCCTGTTATGCGTGTAAACAAAATCATATGTGCTTAACTATGCTATCAGTTCATTCCAATAAACTAATATTTTTCATGGGTTCAATTTATCCGATTACAGTATTTAGATCAGAAATAAAAACCTGCTTCAGTTAGAAATCCGCAGCGAATTCACAGCTACGCCAGACTTCTAACGTAATTAGCGCTTTTGAAAATGTCTGTGTATTAGCGTACAAAGATAATAAATGGATATAAGGCAAAAAAATAATCATAAGACTTAGTATTAATTCTAAGAACTATTGCCAGAGAAATCATATAGGTACCATCAAACGATTTCCCACAGGAACTAAGCGACCGATGTAACTTCTATTATATAATTAATATTGTACATCACAGATCAAATACTCTAGTAAGCTGAGCAAGTAATACAATAAGAATAAGGAGGGAAATTGCGTTGCTTTGTAATAACAGCTACTATTGTATCTTTTAAAAAGAACCCTTATTTCTCCACAGAATTGTCAGATGTGGCTTGAGATAGCAAAAATTACGGCAGTTTGACTTACCTTGAGCTGGGGCATAAATGTTCAAATACAAGCAATCTTCAGACTGGTTCGTTAAAAACGGCAATATCCTCTTTAAATACTCCAATCTCCCTTTTGATATCCTCTTGAGCACGACGGTCTCATTCCTTATATCCGGAAGAACTTGTGGGCAGACTGGACCGAATTCCTCAGCTATCTTCACTCCGGACCATTGAGCGCCTGATACCGGAGGCATAAACCTAAGGGATCCCACGGGAGGAGACGCATAAGGTACACCTCGGAATACTTCAACCGGTTCCAGATATCTCGATTCGGGAGTGACAATAAAGCCTCGAATATCGCCGTATTTAGTTCTGACTACTCTAGAACTAATATATTGCTGGGGTGTTTTTTCTTCTACTGTCGCATCACCCATGACTGGTTTGGAAGTGAGAACCGGTAGCGTGATGAAATATACGATCATCAGAATGATCATTTTTTCGCCTCCAGCGCCAACGTAGCAGGTTTCGGTCGTTTGCTATAATTTTGCCATTTTGATGGAGAAATCCGCTCTTGCCCACCATTTACTCCTTTGTCTGTAACAAAAAAAGGATTTATTTAAAAAAAAATCAGTTGTCTGTAAAATAGGTTTACTGACGATAGTTGAACGTGACAACGTCATAAGAAAATACTGATGGAATGGTTTCATTTTTCAAAAGAAAATTTTAATTTTATTTGTTTGATAGATATTTTGTATGGACGATTGACACCACATTCACTTTTCACTTCATACTTGACGAAAACATATAAATGTATTATTGTATAGCAGCTGTCCACGCGGATGCATCGCTCACTCAAGTAGGAGAGAGACAGATATCGAACGCTGCCGAACGCGGAGGCCGATTATGGCTCTTTGTCGCTCGTTGCGCGCTCTCGCTTGCACTTTAAGCCTTAAATGGAACGCCACAGAGCGAGGTAACGTCGCATGAGTCTTGTTTTTTCGTGCGTGCAGCCAGCTCCATCGAATTATAAGACGTTGTCACGTCAAAAAACTACTCAACGGAAACCAAGCTCATAATTTTGTAACACAGCCCTTTTGTTCTACTTTGCTAAGAACGTTTTGTAATGAAGCAAATATTCAACATCCAAATAAATCGAGTTTCGTCTTTGGAACGTAACACACATTTAATTATACATACTAACAAAGTTCTCTCAACTCTGCAAGATCACATATCTACCCACACACTCAGACTCTTGTTTTCAAGTCACGTAGCCTACAGTTCTCATTATTTGTACATGTTCAATCAGAACTATTTGAAGGCATAGTCGAATGTACAAAGTCAGATAGACAAAATTGATATATACATTTCTGTTGAAATGCTTAAGAAATTTTTAGAGTATCTCTACATTGTTTGAAATGGTTAACGATCTTCTAGTTGATGATGAAAGTAATATTTCGACTTGTATTTACGATATAAAACTCCAATGCACGTCATTTAACACGTGAGGTCATTTTGGGTATGTTATTTTATAGCAGAGGATTTTATACCAAAGGTTCAGTCTATCCCAATCTATCCAACTATTGGACAGTAGTTATAGTTATATGTATGTGAAATTAGGTAACTTAAGCTATCGCTACTTCTTCCGCATAGTTGCTAATAGTCGCATCTAATTTTCTACCTAACTATTTTCCCAATTTCTATCTACAACAGTAACAAATGGGCGGCTACATTGACATAAAGGAATTTTTAGGTTTCAGCTACAGTTTAATCTTATGCGCATAACTAACAGAATTGCCTTAGAGGCGCTATTCTTAAAAAGCTCACGGTCATGGCTCTATCCGACTTTGAATTAGAATAACTAATATTCGTTTAATACTTTCGCGGCTGTCTATATTGGAAGCATAATAATTTTAATGGATTCTTACTATGGTTTTCACATTTAACAGATTCCCGATATTGACGAGTGTTGGAAACGCCGTGATCACGAGTAGACTGAAGGATGCGGAGAGAATTTTAGGAGAAGATAAGTTTGGAAACTATGGGTCTACGGAGGGACATCGGTTCTCCCTGTCTTTTATACAGTGTGTTCGATGGGAAGTACTCAGAGGAACTGTTCGAGATGATCTCCTTTTTTGGTCCACAGCCTGAGAAAACTTCATCTATACTATTTGAAGCCGCTGCGTCTGATCTGAAGATATCTTTCTGTCACGTACCATCCGACTCTATGAATGATTGCTTTCCGAGCGCTTTCTTCAAATGAGACTTGTGAAAAGTACTACGTGGCAGGCAGCGACTTAGCTACACTCCTGGTATTACTGACATCCACGAGAGACGGTAACCACTGACCATCAGGTGGGCCGTAAACTCTTCCACCCTCCTCCTCCTCCTCCTCGCGTCGTTTCCTCACTGCTGAGGGTCGTGACCATTATAATTCGACATGATTTTACTCCTTGTGATGTCCCGCCAGCGCCTCCGATCATTGGCCGCATGAAGGGCGTCGTGGAATGGGATCTCTAGTGTGATGCGGATTTGGTCGAACCACCTTGTCGGACTGCGCCCGCGCGGTCTCTTTCCCTCGATCTTCCCTGTCACGAATAGTCTTTCTAAGCTATCCACTTAAGTAATAAATGAATAAATAACTTATTAAATGTGAAAATCGTAGTAAGAATCCGTTAAATATTTAGAGATTAAGCTGTTTCACATGAAAACCATTCCAATAACACGAGTGTTAATGTCACAATTACTGTTACAATTGATAATGATTTATTTTATGTCTTAGGTAATAATATCCTTATACGATGTATAATTGTTTCATAAGCAATTTAGTAAATTGGTTTTAATTACACAAAACATTATGCTTCATCTCAATTATCTTTGAAGCTACTTGATTAGCTTTATAATAATTGGAATATTAGATCGTAAGCATCCCTAAATCAAGACATTATGTTAACTTAGATCGGCCTTATAGTAATGTTACCGAACGCAGACAATGTTGTGTAATTTTATATCAAACTATTTTGCCATCAGACGATTAGGATAATGCTATATAAGTGTTTGGTGAAAGAACTAATTTAGGGTACGTAATTGTAGCAGATACAGATACTGAAATTCAAATCCTAAGTGGAATTTAGTAAAGATTTTAAGAAAGGCAATCTATGTAGATTAAATATTGCTAGATTGTTATTGAAAATATTAATATTTAAAACCATGTTGCTTTGTTACATGTTCTTTAAATATTTAAATAAAGAGCTAGTGTGTCTGTTTGGCTTTACCCAACTTATTTAAGTATGGTTAGTATTTAAACAAAACGGTTGGTTGATTATTGTGGTTATACAAACAATTATAAAAACGATTATAAAAAGAAGGCTGAGATAATAGTATAATCTGCAAAGAAAATATTCGGCGCAACAACCACATTATTGTTCAAGATTAACTATATATTGTATTGCCTGCACCCAAACTTGGGTCCACTCCAGCTATAAATATTCAAAGACTTATCTCTTATTTTATGCCCGTATCGAAGGCCGAGGAAACGATTCTTTTCGGGCGGCAACGTTTTACGACGCTCGTTTGCATGTTTACATGTGTGCCTGTTTATCTGTTTCGATTTATTGCCCCCAATAACTCTGGAAACCTAAGCTGAATGGTATAAGGGCATTTTGTTTATCTATTCGGTCGTATTTGTCTTTTATGAAGTAGGAATTGAGTAATGAGTATTAGAAACGTTATAGGTGTATTTAGACGATATTATTGTATACACAAACACCTATTCGTTACTCTTTTGTACTCTTGTATCTAGATTCGTATATCGGATTTTTCAACCATTTAATTATGATTTTAATAAAAGAAACCAGCTCTAGCACTTAAATAATACAGTTAACGTTTCATATTCATATGCGTCAACTTAAGGTTTACTTACTTACAGAAGTACACGATACTGTGGCATGGGGAGTCTAAGCCGTAAGTCACGGTACAGTAGTCAGGATTACCAACCATTAGACTAACAAGGGAATTAAATTACCGTTACATTAATAATACTCAATGTTAAATTTTTTTTATGAAACATTGATAACTAACTATATTTGCCGTATTTATTCCATCAGAATATGTTCTGCTCCCAAACATTAATGGATTTGGTTATAGGATAGGATAGCCGACTTTATAGTTCAATTAAGACATTCATCTCCTGTCTCAAGTTAGAAGGTAGCTTTCCTGATGCGATGACTCTTGGCTACATCGGTAGCTGTGACAACAAAAACACATTTAAAATAAACCACGCAAATATTAAATTCAAACGTAAACGACTCTTATCACATTTTCTTCAATGAAAAAGAAGGAAAAGCAATACGAAAAATAGAAATGGTATATCAGAACACATCGACGAGGGATTCGCACATTCACATGGCACTACCCAGTGATACGAGGAATCTCTTTGAAAATAAACGAAACAAGGAAATACCGTAATCAGATCCTTACGACGATAGGTCGTTGAGAATTTGGCCCGTATTAAGATGTTAAGGCTGGGATACACGCTGTGATTGCGACGAATTTGATATAGTGGAGTATGACAAAAAAAACATGATCGCAACTGTAGTTTGCTATAGGCAGACACCGCTACTTCAGAAGTTTTCTTTTATTAGGCCGGATCGACTCTGTGAGCTGAAACATATCGACACGTGTTGACGAATGTATTTCGATTACCATTCTAGGCAGACGTAGACTTTCCTAATGGAGAGTAGCACTAGTAATTATCATCGTCATCAATGTTAGGAACATAGCCAAACTGATGCACATTGAATATTTACATAAAATTAAATGTGTGTCAACTCCAAATTTACGAAGCAGAAATTGCGAAGCAGAACAGCCCTATTTGACAAAACGAAGTATTCGGTTTTAATATTTTATGCAGATAGTGCTTTAAAAAAATAAAAACATTGTTAGCCTGCACTGTTCCACTGATTCTTATTCTGCTGTGAAGAATTCGTGAGTTCCACTTTGAATACTAAGGCACCCTATATTATAATAATATAATGAGTGAAGTTCGATTTGAAGTGAAGTGACATCTGCTTTGTGGTGACTTCTTCCTTCGGTAAACATTCAACTTTTATAATTTTTATTGCCCTGAGAGGTGAACAAGCTAAAAAAAATTTAAAAATCTAAATATTGGTATATTATGTCGCCGCGTTGCCAGTTAATTCAAACATTATTAATTGTTACTGAATAATAATCTTTACTTCTCATTACGGTTTACCTCGGTAAATATTCTTATGCTTTATTAGTATTCGACGTTAAAACATGTTTTGTCAACATTGGCAACTTACAACTTATTAAAAAATTGTGATGCTACCGACACCTGATAGATCTGTAGTAAAGTGCTTGGCTGACGTTCGCCTTTGGTGGAGCGAACAAATATTTTAAAAGGCGTAACTTGAGCACGGAGCTTACTTCGCTGCCGATTTTCGAGAGATGAAATTTGAAAACGCTATTCGGTTAAAAATTAAAAAGTGACTACAGCTCTGTTTTATTGCTTTTGTTTTGTTAAGCTCCCTAATTTAATAATAAATGTACTCCTA